CAGATAGATCAAGTGATAAAACCACAATCGCACTCATTGTATTTTTTCTATATTACCCAGTCGGATCAAGTCCCTATTAGCTAAATATATTTAGAGAGTTGAAGTTAAGAGAACAGATAACATAAGTCTCACTTAGGTCCCAATAACCAACTATTCACTATTCATTTGAACTTCATCCAAGAATATGCCTATTAATACAAACTATGACTTGTTCCAAAACCAATATAGAGTCAAGTAGACACTTCATCATCTTGATTTTATGTATGGCTTCTTAATTCTCAAGAATAGCATAATAATATCTTCTTACTCCTAGACACCATTTAACTTGATTGTGCTTTTGCGTGTAGTTCACAAAATATTGCACCCCATTAGCATACTCTTGTCTTCGTATCAAGAAAAAAGCTAGTCCTTCATCTTGAAAGACATCGATCACACGCGAATATCTGTCATCTCTTCAACGAAGTTGTCTTTGGATGAACTAATGTAAGATTCGTCTTGTTAGTAATTCTAGAGCTATCATGTGGCGTCGCATCGAAGAAAATATTCTCTCAAGTTGCAATTTTCTTGTCAGGATATATCACAATTTAGGTTTGGGGATTGATCGCAATTATCTACATGATAGAGAATGGATTCGATTCTACTTTGGAATCTACTTCGTCTTGTCAATTGCTTTGAAATCCGGAAGAGAGGTTTAGTTTCCGCTGCTGTTTCTCCAAGAATATCCTCAGTCCATGATCCTACACACAGCGAGCGAGAGAATGCGAGTTGTAGGCGAAACCGTCAAGCTCCGGAAGGAGCAAAAGGAAGCGATCATTTAGCAGCTCGGCCTAAGATCACATTTGATTTCCTTGTTTTATTTTCGTATACCAATATATTTCAATAAAATTATAAAACTTGAGTATTAAGATATGATTTCAAAATTTGTACAACTGACAAAGTTTATGCTGATATTGAGATCATAATATTTTCAATAAATTTTATTTTATTATAATTTGGATACATTATCAGTAATTGAACTGGGTGCACACGGAGCCGCATGGAACTTATACATTGTACCGTTGAATAAAAACAGGTATCGTATATCAATATGATCGTCTTGAAGTGGTGAATACTTTCCCAGAGACAAAATGTGAGATGTTCTCTATATATTCCCAATAGTTAACCTTTATTTGAGCTGATTTCGAAAGCCATCTATACAAGATTTAGTTTGTCATCTTTTGATTTTGTTAATCTCAGGGTAATTCAGGAAGATTCCATGACGGGAGAAATTATGACAAGGTTTCAGTAATATGATCAAACTGGGATCTCGCTTGAATTCCTTCATACGTCAAAGGTAGATTTCTTTTCTTTACTTTTGAGCCACTCTTTCAACGATAAAAGGTTTCAAAAGCACTGTATCTCGAAACAGAACTGTTGCTCCTTGTTCTTTGAAGATATCGTCTCTTCATCTTCGGCCTAGCTTTTCTCTGGCACTCAAGTTAGGTTTGTTGCCCTCGGTTCACACAGTAGTTGACCTATTAATCATATTTGAATCTACCTCCAACAGGCGTTTCCTCCATGAAATAGACAGTAGGCACCTCACTGTGGATAACTGTTTCGATACTTTACAGATGCAATAACAGAGCAAGGTGGTGCTCGTTCCAAGTTTTGTTTCATACGTCTCAATACGAAGAGGAAACTTATTTGTCTTACTTTTTGATAATATACGGTGAAAATTAGCAAACCCGTAATTTCAAGTTGTTTCACTCTATTTTTCTCACTTTTCGATAATATACGATGAAAATTAACAAAACCGTAATTTCAAGTTGTTTCAGTTTATTTTTCCTGTCTCCTTTGCAGTTCTGCTGGGAACTGTTTTGCGTCCCTTTCGATGACGGAAGACTCCTCGCCTTCCGACCCTTCCTTGCACTTACGACACCGAGATATTTAGACTCGGAATGTTATTTCGGCACCGAGATATTTAGAGTCGGAATGGTATTTCGGCATTACTGGAGTCTTACGCATATGTACTCATGGGCTTATGCCCAACATAGTAGACACTCGCTCGATATTTGTAAGTGTCGATCACGACTCGATACAGGATTAAAGAGATGCTTTGAGATCAGCCAGATGTTAACACGGTATTGGCAACAAACTAAGTATGTCCCATGTCACTTTAGCGATCGACGGAAACCTCGTAGAATCGACCTACTACGGTCAAAGTACGACAGGTGGAAGGGAGACAAGGGGAAAAGCGTTTGCGTGTACCGAGTGCATCGGTCGCAAGAAATATGGTTACGGAACCGCGTTCAGCCGTAATATACTTACCGATCATATAACTAGAACCAACTTGTGATGCGTTTTATATGAGGAGAGGATGAGAGCGAATATCAGTTCGCTGATTTGCAGGACAAAACTGCTCGACTCAGGAATTGTAATATTGTTTTGTTGTGCGAAAGATTACCAAGAATCTCCGGGATCGATAAGTAGGTGAAGAACGCGGTTGCAGTACAGAGCGTTGTGGGCGGGGAGGGGAGGAGAACTATGTGGAGGAGAGGGACCGTTTGCAGCATGAAGGGACCACACACACGACATTCACATAAATGAATTTCGTGACATTCCTTTATAGTACGTCGGCCCCGTCCATGAAAATTGCGTAAAAGCTTACATGAGCTCATAGAAAATGGGAGGGCTCTCCAGATAAAGTTCGCTGGGGCCCAAATTATGTCCAAATATCTTTCATGTGAGGTGAGACTGCATTGCGAGATTCTATCCTGTTGCCTATCCTCGTTCAGTTGTTGGTGTCAATATGACGGTGCCGATGAATTTCCTGCCACCGATGACATCACCTCCCGAAGATAACCACGTCTCCCTCTTGCTCTCGCGGAGCTCGCCACGGTGTGCGTGAGGCCTACGCGCGCTCCTCTGTGCTAACCGACGCCCGCGGTCAGTCTGGGAGACCGACCCCCGGTCCAGTGAACGGGGCGGATAAAAATTTTGGCGGTGTTTCCAGCCCTCCAACCACTAAATGCGAAACCGCCCAACCCAAAACCTCCTTGCGGATAGATCTCGGGTACAGTGTTTACCGTGCGGGGGGAAACGTGCATGGCATTATTCCGACAGCCTGAACTCAGGTTGGGGGCCGAGCGGGGAGAAGGCCGCGGTGCGGTCATGACAAGGGAATCGAGTCGCAGGACGTGGAAGCCCAAAGTCGGCGACCCCTGGCTTCGGAAATCATTGCGTAATCCGGACTTCCCTGCAAGGCCCGGCACGGCCATGATGGCACATGGGTCATTCGGTGGGCCGGGGGTGGTCACCGGTCTCGAACGTGAGAATAGCATTTCTGGCCATAGGCTCGAACCAGGCGATCGTAGGTGTGGACATGCTACCGGCAGCGGGATGGGGACCGTCGAAACCGGGCGGACGGACCGGCAGGTGCGGCAGTCGGGGCCCGAAAGAGGACGACGAGGGCCGGGAAGAACTGGGACGACGGGGGTGACGCGTCGCGTAGCGTGGAGAAGCAAGGCCCCGAGCGACGGGACGACGAGGCCGGACGTGAGTCTCTGCAGTCCTCCGCAAGGCACGAACGAAGGGAACGACGAGCGCTGAAAGGGTCGAACAAGTGGACTGTCGCTGCGGCCAGGATCGACGGGGACCGGGGCTAGCTAGATCGGGGCGACTGACCGACTGACCCTCTGAATGTCCGTCCATCTGGAAGGGAATTTCGGAGCAGGATTAAATAGCTACACGACCCAGGACTGTGGCCCCAGAGCGTGCCGAGCCTCAGCGCCCCACTCACGAGGGCGAAACCAAACGCATGGCTCCCGTCGGCCCAGCTGTGCCGCGTCGGACACTTCGTCATTGATTATCCGCCCGTCGGGCCGATGGCGCGACCGGAACAGCATTTACCAGATTGTTCCAGACAGCCTCGGGGATTTAGGTCTAGTAGCTGTCCGAGCTTGGCGTGCAGCTTCGGTTCGGTGCCCGGAAGTTACCAGCACCAAAACGCGTGGAACTTGTAGCCTGGAGGTAGCTGGCGTAGCGGCTTACTTGTTGCGGATAGAAGAGAGTCCCGCAGGAGACCGGGTGGAGTGCCACCGGACCGGGTGTTCCGGTCCCCATTGAGGACAGAACGGTAGCTGGCTCGGATGTGTGGATAAAGTTGCCGTCGCCTGTCGCGATGGATGGATGGATGGAAGGATGGATGGAGCCAGTGATTCTGGGTGCCGAGTGCGGATGTGTCACGGGGAAGGCTGCGAGGAACGGCAAAACGTGCCTCGACCGTGTAACATGACGCAAACGGCAGCGGGGCGGCATGCCATCCGCCGGGGCCATGCCGCGTGGCCGTCGGATTCGAGATCCACCGAGCCGGAGAGCCCGAAGCACTGACGGATGAAGTCCACGCCAGAAACTCGGGGGACGTACGTGGTCTCGAAGGCCGAGGAGGAGGACAGAGAGCGGAATCGGGACATAACCGGGCCAACCGTCCGATCCCGAATCCGAAGGTGGAGGGACTTTGCGTCCGGAGATTCAGAGCCGTGAAACGCGAAATGCAGCGTCAGACGCCGGAAGCTTCGTCGCGCTGGATGGCGGGCGAGAAGAGGGTTCTGATTTGACCGGCGGATGCGGATGCGGGTGCGGATCCGACAGTCGAATGGGAAGGGAGGACTGCAATTCACGGCCACGACCGGGAGCAGGACTGACTTTGAACTGGTACGGAGCGAGGGTGTGCGGGCGGAGCATATTCCGTCCACATCGAAGTCGGGGTCGGGGTTAGGGAGGTGGGGTGGGGTTGGGTCGGGTCGGGCCGCGTGATGAGATGGCTATGGCGGTCGTCGTCGTCGTCGTCGTCCGTGCTGCCTGTGCTGCTGCTGCTCCTCCTCCTTGCGCTGCCGTCCCGGGCTGCCTCGCTCGCCTGCCTCGCCCTCCTCCTCCTCCTCGCCCTCGTCCTCGCTGCCTGCCCTTGCTGGCTTTGCTTATGAGATTGTGAGAAATAGGCAGGCTGGCCGGGCTGGTTGGCGATTGACTCTCTGCAACGCTCCTCCCCTCCCCTTGCCTTCAGGACAGGGTTGGTGATTCTCTTCTGGATCTTTGCTCTCGCTGCTTGCGTTGCCTTGCGTTGCGTTGCTCGCCCGTGTTCTTGAATTGGGATTGCTAGTGCTCCGGTGTTTGATTTCGTGTCTCGTCGTCGTCCTCGCGGTCCCTGTCGCTGTGAGTGGTGCGTGCGTGACTGTTGTTGGTTCGCGTGTGCACTTGTTTGGGTGGAGTTTAGCGCAAGAGAGGAGGGAAGGAAGAGTGTTCGAAGAGAGGTGCCGGGCGACGGTGGGAATCAGGCACCGCTATCTGGCCGAGGCAGAGGCAAAGGCAGAGGCAGGCAGGCGGAGACGTAGAGAGCGGGGGCGAGAGAAGGGAAGGAAGAGAGAGAGAGAGAGAGAGAGAGAGAGAGAGAGAGAGAGAGAGGGAGAGGTTGCCTATAGAGTCGGGGAGATCTGTGTTAGGCTTCTTCTTGGTGAAGTGTATGTTGGCAGCAGCGTCGTCGGCAGGGTACCTTCCCGTTCTCTCACGCCGCCGCTTTCGTCCTCTTGCCACGCCCTGCCCGCTGCGGGCTGGGCCGAGTCGTCCTGGCCCCTGTGTTGTCCACCGAGTTCTAGGGCTTTCCTGCGTGCGCGTGCGATAGTTCGATGCCCTTCTCTTTGAGGTTTCTTTTGCCGCCACTCGACTGATCATGTTTTGTGCATATATCGTGGGCCTGCTCTTTGCTTCAGGGTTTCCTTCAAGCTTGCTATCAACGACGGACCTTCGGCTTTCCTGCTAGTGGAGCGTATCGACCCGTTAATTTGACGTGGTTTTTCATCATCGCGCTTCGAGGATCTCTGTGACTGGCATCGGGGAACCAAAGACAACTGATTTGATCGAACTTAGAAGTTTGTGTTCAGAGAAACAATCTAAAGAGGTAGATTCGAGAGCAGTTGGGAAGCGCTTGGCGGTGCTGGTGCCCATGGCTTCGAAACGGATTCTTAAGGAGTTAAAGGATTTGCAGAAGGATCCACCGACATCATGCAGCGCTGGTAACATCCCTCGATCCTTGGTCAGATGTTGTCCGATTGCAGAGTTCTGGACATACCCAGTCATGGGCGAGATCTGTCCACTTGGAGCTGCTCCGCTCGAATTTTGTTGTGTCTCTATTCACAAAGCTGAGTTTAGAACTGGTTACGGATCAAAAAGATAGAAGCTGATTGTGGTGTTGAAGGTGGTCGGGTTATGTTGCATGGCAGACCTATGGATGTCAAGATCAGTTCCTGTCAAGAGGAGTCATTATGCAGTAGAGTTTTCTACTGCTTCTCGGATATGACGATGATTTCAGTCCTTCCGAGCCTAAGTTATGTGGAGCACATACTTCTGGATCCGACGTAGATACATACTAGCTTCCAACAGATCCGTCACCCTGTTGGTAACGCAACCACCACGATTGGGTTTCGTGCGAGCTCGGAGCCAGGCCGGGTGGATTATGTGCTGGCCATTGTAAACGGACCTGGCTGCCACCAGATTCTTGTGATGTGTTCATCGCCTGGATCGTCACTCTGATTGCCCGTAGACAACCATTTTGATGTTCTGTCGTTGCAATTGTGTCATCACTAACTAGCTTCCTGGTTGCAAGGCGTGGTCTCTAGTCAGGGTAATACCTTCTGTGTTTCATTTAGCGTTTCTGCTTCATACGTTAAGTACAAACTCTGTGGTCCCTGTAGAGGTCTCATCCATTAGGTCACCTCAATTGATTCTAAAAGCGCTTAGCCGTGTCTTTCCTCCATGGTCCGATAGGTCCATCGGGGAATCTGGCTTGTGTCCGTGGGCCGAGTCCTGCTGCGATCTTTGAGTACTCGTTGGATGCTCTCCACGATTTTCTCCACTCCCACATGACCTACAATGGTTGTGGACTTTCGGCCAAAATCATTGTCCTTAATTCTTGATCTTGTGGAATCTGTATGCGATGTTTGTAGAACGCCAAATCTCGAGACTTCTCCGCCTTTCCAGTTTGCAGTGCTCGAGTGATCTCTTCATCCTTCTCACTTGCTTTCTTAATCTTTGTTTTTTCGATACTGGCTGCCATTTCCTGGGTAGCGGCAAGAAGTGAACGCGCTTTTGCTGTGAGAGTGTTTCTTTTGGACACATTCGTGTTCACTAAGAATGATAGCCTTCGGTCTTTGTAAAGATCGGCTGAGAATCACTTCACACGACCATTCTCTGTGCCGCGGATTAACCAAAAGATCAATCCCTACCCAAAACGTCGGTAGTGAAGAACGAATTGCATATGAAGACACATTCCGTACAACTGCGGGGAGTGCTGCTGCTGTTCATTTGCACCAGCAGTTTTGGGCACGAACTTCTAGGAACCTGTAGGAGAGACTAGCTACTCTTTGTGGCGATTAGTGTGTTTTTTGGATTTCATGAATTTGAGGAAGTGTTTTTCCTCAAGCAAGCTTGGAGGGATTTGGCAGCAATCGGAGTGATTTATCACTTCCCAGTATGCTTTGGAATATCAACGATCCGCTGAAGTCGCGGATGGGACCTTTTCTGCTTCCACTTCTAGGCGAAAGTAGTAATTTAGAATGTCATTTGTTTCTTTGTAATCTCTGTGCTGATGAACTTGAAACGTATGAAATTCCAGGACCTGTTGCCGAGGATATGTTTCACTGGCAGGCGACTATAATGGGTCCACCCGATAGTCCCTATGCGGGAGGTGTGTTTTTGGTTACAATTCACTTCCCTCCTGACTACCCATTCAAGCCACCCAAGGTTTGTGCTTCTGGCCGTGCTGGTAATTTTATTTAGAAGCTTATGGCCGCTGGGAAACTTACTTCTCAAGTTTCTTGTCCTTTTTATCCAGAACGTACCATTCAATGATCTAAGGCTGTTCTGATCAGAGTTTCCTTCTTCTTACAGGTTGCTTTCAGAACCAAGGTTTTCCATCCTAACATTAACAGCAACGGCAGTATTTGTCTGGATATTCTTAAGGAACAGTGGAGCCCTGCTCTGACCATATCGAAGGTAAGAAATCGAGCCGAGAGTTTATACTGTAGCCGTCTCTTCTGTCTTTACTTCCTGCCCGGATTGAACATAAGAGTTACAGCTACATAGACACCAGGGAAACAATGCCGTCGTGATATTAGTTGTTTTCGTAATGTCGTTGAACTGGAGGTGCTCTCCTCGTTTGGTAGTTATTATGAGATGGCAATGATTTGAAGGAATCCTTTCTTCAAAACTGTCGGAAATCAATTATATGGTTCCATCACTCGGCTTAGATGGGAGTTTTCGATTTCTGTTTATTGATGAATCCTTTTCCTTGTGTGCAGGTTCTGCTCTCTATATGCTCTCTGCTAACCGACCCGAACCCCGACGATCCTCTTGTCCCTGAGATCGCGCACATGTACAAGACTGACAGGACAAAGTACGAGGCCACAGCACGGAATTGGACACAGAAGTACGCCATGGGTTGAGCGACAGAATTGCTTAGCCTTACCGGGCTTTAGGTATGGACTGCATTAGTTCTTCGATTTGGGAAGATGGGTGGGACTGGGAATGGTATAACAGCGGAGGTGTCTGGAGATTTCAACCATGACTTGGCTGGGATGAAGAGTTGGAAATTGTCTGCTGAACCTCGCTGGCTTGCAACCTTTCGTACTGGCCAGGATAGGTCCAAACGCAATATTTTAATGTCCTCCCCTGTGTTCCCCATGGGGAAGCCTCAGGGTGGCCTGCTCTTGTTTGGGAAATGTTGACAGCTATCTAAAACACTGGTGGTTAAGGTAGGCAGGTCTATGTATGTTTAATGCCATTTCTTGCACATGTTGGTTCCATTCGTTTGCTGTGGCGTGGGTTGAATCTGGCGCATTTTAAAGCTAAGTGAAATGGAACAGCTGACTGGGAGCCATACCTGGGGCTTATCTTTTCTGCCGATGCAGTTCTCAAGCGCTTGCCGGAACTGCTGTATTTCTGGTAGAACTGGCGAAGTTTTTTTTCTCTTTTGTTCTTTCCCTTTATGTATAGGAGGGACTACTTGTGAGGTTGTGATAAGATCAGTGTTTTGGTAGACTACTCTTCAAGGTTTGCTTGAAGCACTATTTTGAAATGTACGCCTGTGATTACTCGATCATCTCTATTGTCCTGGGCTGTACGAATGAATCGCCTCTGACGAGGCTGTTTATCGCACGTAGTTGTTAGTGTGCTGATCTTTGCGACCTCTCGTTGCCTTGTCAAACCTGTATCTACTCAAATTAGCTGCATGTTATACAGTAGGAGACGTGGATGGCGTAGTATGGTCGTCACAATTTATCAATATATCTTGGCATATCGTAGGATTCGTCGATCTAGTATTTAAGTATTGGTACCACTTGTTACCTACTCTTTGTTATAATCAATTCATGTAGAATTCGAATGATTTATAGTTCAAACTTTGGTTCTCAACAATGTTTGTGCACTACTAATATCGTCTAGACAGATTTGTCGTTTCAAACTTGTCTAAGTGGAATTTGTGCGATCACCCCATTTTGCCTTTTTTTTCTTTATCGGCTAGCGCGCAGTCGCGAGAAATCGAATGTATGTATAGGGTTTATATTGCTGTTGGTTTTTGCGCAAAATTTTCAAACGTGTCAAACTTCTTGCAGGGAGTTGGTGAAACTGTGGTGAACTTTTGTGAAATATATTGACTGAAGGAGAATCCACAACGACCAATCATTTGCTTTTGGTCGTTGTGGGCCTATGGTACCTGTGGTATTTGAAATCTGAAGCATGTTAGTGATTCTCTGAGGACTCTTCAGAGTTGTGTAGTAGCTAATTTTTGGCCATCACGATCTGTCTTGTGTAGTTCCTCTCCAATGACCTATCGGTCTGAACTGCCAATTTGTACTGCTCTTTCCTATGCACGTTCTTCAAATTATTCGATCAGAAGCGAATATTTCGGTGTATGATCATCGGCATAGTTAAGATTTATTAGCACCTGGAGCTTTATAAATTTCGATCTGTTCTGAGCTTGCACAGCAGTCAAACGGCAATGTCGATGGAGGTAGTAATTCTGAAAATCTTATTCTAGAATGTGCCCGAACAAAGGATGAAGGTCACACACCTGGAAATGAAACTTGCCATATCGAAATGCGCGCTAGTATTTGCCCTAACGTTTCACCGAGAACGATACAGGCCGTCGTCCTCAAGCCCTGTACGTTTCCTGCAGCGCACGGTGAGGGAGGTGTATATGTGGGACCGTACGGAAATATAGACCAGCCTTTCTCTCCTTGTTGACTACGGAAAATCCATTCGTGTGTAATCTTTGATTGGCAATATGCTTGACCCTAGTATTTACTCTTGTGGAATGCATTCATCATTGGTTCGAGTCAAACAACACCATGATTTGAATCAGATTAAAGTTCATCCCCCAAGTCAGGCGAATAGGCATTTCAACCATTACTCAATCGCATACGTGATGATTGGGCCCATCTTTATACATCACCGACGAAAAGTGTCTTTTCAAAGTAATCTGCCATTATAAAGGTTATAGCAGAAAAGTACAGCGACCCACACGGTCTAGTGTGCACCTATTACGCTTGTCCAACTGGATTGTATGGCAAAGTCTTCCCGTAGGTTCAAAGATAAGGAAATTTGAAGATAGCCTCATTAGTAAAAATCCGATAGTGGAACGTCCAGTGAAAGGACAGGATGAATATGTCAAGTGGTATCACGCGGCATTGCTCCGTTAGGCTTTCGCCCATTGCGAAAACTCCCCACTGCCGTCTTCCTTAAGAGCAAAATATGCCAAAAAGTTGTCCCTGATGTTGCACCTAAACATCATCGACGGGAAGGTATGGCACCTCGATGTTGGCTATTGTATCCCTCCAAAGGGCAGGTTCTTATGCTTACACAGGAGAAATGAACATTGTATCGAAATGTTTCTGAAGTGAGAGAAAACATGCACACGTGTACTCTATGCAGAACGTAAAATACATAAAGACGACGCTGGGGAAAATGAGAAAAAATGTATGACTAACTCGAAAGTGCAAGTCCAAGCCGTCTCAGAACTAGAGTTGGGAGTCAAAACCTCAAGGGCAGGCAAGGGGCGAGGGCACGGAATCATGCCTTGTTCGCACTCTTCTATACGATGCATGCCCGTATATACGAACAAATACATACATATATAGAGAGTTTTTAACAGTTTTTCTTCAAGAGTGCTTAATTTCCGTACAAGTACATGTCTAAAACGTAAATGTATGTATTTTAGTACGGCACCCTCGGGGCATGGGGCGTGCCTTTTGACGCTGAAAGGGGGCATGGGCATGCCTGGAAGAATTTTGTTGTGCGAAAATATACTCCAACACTACTCAGAAACTAGAAAAAGTGTAAAGAAAGTAATATACTCCGTAAGGCAAGATTGGTTTCGGTGTGGAGCATTATCTGTGTCTCAAATTTCAGATGAGTAGAGCAACTTGTGATAGTGGCTGCCATGTTCAGTTGTGAATGTATCCTTTGTGAGGAATTCTTCTAGGTATAATTATGGTAAGAGGCTAGACAGTTTTCCGAGGGGTACGGTTATTGTCAACTTGTACAAAATCATTGCGTTTGACGTAGAGCGACAGAAAAATAATGTCTTTCTTGCTTCTCACATAAGGTATGTATGATCAAATATAGTCAAATTATAATTCTTGACAATATATAAATTTATTCAAATATTTTCTTCCATGGAGTTTAAACATTATAACTTTAAAGGTAAACAATTCCTCCAAGTTTGAATGAATGAATTATGAGACCTAAGCAAAATGAAACACGTAATGAACATGTGTGGATAGTGACTAAAGAAGATGTCACATCCGATGACAACGGAGAAGCTGCTGCGCAAGTTGTCACTAATCTGACTTCTGGAAAAATCTCTTTACAATTTGGTACTGTGGGATTTGCTGCTGATACGAATCCTTCGAATCTACGCTGCGTGTTGCTATCTACCCTGCTGATATGAATGAGGAACGTCAGTTCCCTATACTGAACACTGACTCTTCATATATCTCGTTCCACTTCATACGAGCTATCGTTCGAACTATTTTGACATATGCTCTGCGTACTGGGTCGAGGTGTTGATGCAATACATCCTCATGCCAAGACCCTTGGCAATCGTCCACTATAGCTCCTACAGTTGAGTTACCCATGAAGGACAATACATTAATTTGTTTAATTTTTTTGGAAATTTTAGAACTTCCTACCGGATGTGAAGGGCTAGAATGGTGTAAATATCGAAATATGGTGAAGAAACTTTGTTATATATGTGAAATAGAGGAGTGTGTATTGGTCTCATATATGTATATATACAGGGGAATGTTAAAACGACCAAACTGAGACCGGAGAGGCGTCTCGCTGTCACCCTGCTATGCATCGTAAAATCTTCTGCAAACCAATCCAGCGTTGTTCCAATCCAACACTCTGTTCAAGCACCCAAGAACATGGCCAACATGTCTTCTGTCAGAGACTCCATGGACGGTCTTCTGCGCCGTGGGAGAATTGGTCTGATGCAGAAATCTGTGAAACCCGTTGACGTTCCCGCGTGTTGAATCGACAGAGAAAATGTTGTGTGATAACGAGACTCTGAAATCGAGATGTCATTTTCCGCGTACACCCACCATGTATTTTCTGATTTGTGACTAATATAGTACTGTTCTCCGTGTGATTGTTCTAACCATTTATGAATTACTTTTAACGTTCCCTGTAAATGTGTATCTTACAAATGCTTGAATTTGTTATATACTATTCACTTCATTTGCTCTATGGAATTAAATTATTAAAAGATATTAAGAATGCACTCACTTTCAAATAATAGTACTCATGATGTATACATACTTTTTTGAATTAAAAAATTATTTTGACAATGTTTTGAAAATTTGATCACATTTTGTACATATCAAAGTAATTTAATGATGATTCTACATATCTAAATTCAGTTACTTAAAAAAAAAATAGGTCTAATTTTGTAAAATCAAAGAAATTTCAAGTAAGATAGATCAATTTAATAAAATACAAATGGAATAAAATTATTGAATTGAAAAATAAAATAAAATAAAATAAAATACTGAACGTGATCATTTATCAATTGATCAAAATATTTAGTTTTTGATTTTTTCACAAAATAGTATGCGTAGAATTTGTTCAAATTGATTGCAATTTAGTACAAAGATTCAAGCTTCAAATCAATACCAGATGATTAATAACGTGCAAAATTGAATTTTTTTACTCATTAAAAAATAATAATATAAATGGATGAATTTTTAAATGTAAAATGAATCATCATTCAAGCCAAATAGAAACACACGACACATTCATATAACGTGTTTCTGCAACACCCGGGTTAACTTTCTATAACCATCTTTAGTAAGTTAGAACTCAAGTAGAGGTTACTATAAATGTTGATATAAATACATTAACGTGCACTAGTCATAGCTACCACGTAAGTGATTCGCGCGTTTGGTAGGTAGAGAGTGGATGTGTTAGTTGACAATGCCACGTTAGCAATCTTAATGCTTGTAGGTAAGGATTGAGTTTGTTAGTTGGGAGCGTCACGTCAGCGATCCGTGTGCTTGTTAGGATTATCCGCCACGTCATTCATACACTAGGAGTGGGATGGATGGTGGGGATAATATCTTATCTCCTTGTACTTTTTTGGGAGAGCTATATAAGGGAAAGTAGAACCATTTTTGGTATCTCTCATCTTCGGAGTTTACGTTTCTATCTTCGAGTGAACTTCTCTCTAAACCCTAGTGTTACAATGGTATAAAAGCGACATTGATCTTTCCTTGAGTGTGGATTACTGTGGATTTTACGGATCTCACTTGGGATTCTTTACTATGAACTCACTTGGGATTACCCAACTGTTGAATAGAAAGCAACTGGATGTCATCCATCCTCCCATTCTTGTTGAAGTATGCCATCTGCGGTTGTACCTTATGCGTCAGTAGCCAACTTGATAGGGCGGTTAGGATCATACCACTTGAGGATAGGTGCATGTTACAAAGCATCTTTCAATGCTTGAAAAGCCAACTCTTGAGCTGTTTACCATCTTCATTTTTGACCTTTTTCTAACATGGAAATCAAGGCCTGAGCTAGACGAGCAAAACCTTTCACAA